TTCAAAGACAGTCTTACAGGTTCCCACTATCTCCACCGTGTGTAACCCAACAGGTGGGCTTCTCTCACTCCAGATGGGAAGAATGGAATACTTCCTGAGAGTGTAAGAGGAGTTTAAAATTCACCACGAATGAGAATCTGGGATGAGTGACATGCATGAACAAGCTACATGGAGAGAGGACACATGGATGATGAGAAGAAAGGGCAAAGCACATCTCAGCAGCTGGCAGCAGAGGCAGGTGACAACGGAGGACCAGATTTCTCATCCCTCCAAGCTTCACCACCACATTTCCAAGGAGAAGAAGCTTGAGTTTCTTCACAGACTAGAAGGAAATTTGTGAAAGAAGCCAAATTCAACTATGAATCATAAAAGAAGCTACTACTTGCACTAAACCAATAGTCAGAGATTATAGCCAATTAATTTAATTAGTTTCCCTTTATGTTTTGCATTGATCTCCCAACACCTAATGACATGTTCAACATATAGTGTGTACTCTGTAACTATTTAACACAAGGCATTGGTTCAGTTGGTTGTATGTTTGTACAACGATCTGAGGACATATCTCTCTCTTCCCATACTCTAGTGGTTGCCACTAGCCACACGTGGCTGTTGAGGACATGAAATGTGGCTGGTCTGAATTGAGATGTGCTGTGTAATACACAAGTGAAATTTTGAGGACTTAGCATAATAACAAGAAAGTAAAAATCACACTGATATTTCTGTAATTATTGCACATTGATAGTATTTTAGACATATTGAGTTAAATAAAAATATATTATTAAACTGCATTTTACTTGTTTCTTTTTACTTTTAAAAATGTGCCTACTAGGAAATTAAAATTTTCCAATGTGACTCACATTTTATTTCTATTGGACAATACGGCTCTCTATGCTCATTCATGTTGATCTCATTTACTTTTACCAAAGTAATCACCATCACTGCTTAATTTTTTCCATGTGGAAAATAATCAAAATTAGAATTTATTTTTTCCATTTGGACACTCAGTGATTATATGTCTAGCATTTCCTGACAGGGTGTACTGAAAATTACATAGAAAAAAAAAAGAGATGTCTTACATCTCATTTCCTGATAATTGGGAATGATCAGTCAGTCTATAATTTGTACAAAAAAGGAACAGATTTTCTTTTTGAAGTAATTAATACCTCTGATATTTACTTTAAAATGCTTGATGACTAATTGGATATAATTAAGAAATTTTCACAACTGAAATAGGCATCAAAACAATAAGAAAAACATTCTGATTTTTCAAATTTCATTACATTTATTTATCTAGTTCATAATTTTATATATGTAGTGATATAAAATTAGAACAATTTTATTTACCTAGGGGCTATTTATTAAAGTATAAGGGAACTATAGGGACAGTGCATTAATTGAGGGCTAATATAGCATCTGAGATGCTACACTTTAGTCCTGACATTGGCCATTAACAGAGGAACTGTGACCTTCATTTTGATCAGTGTCAACTGGATGTCTCACAGGCTTCTCAGACTAGTATATCCAATAAAGTATCCAACAGTATCACATGCTATCCAGACAAAGTCACAATGCCAAGAACCCGTTTCTTTACTTTTAAAATGAAGATAAGCTAGGTGCTGCTAAGGCTGACTTGGGTGATGCTAGGAGTGAGGAAGAGAAAGTAGATATAATAAATCTTGAAGAAGCTAGACAAGAGGATAATAAGGTGAAAGTAGCTAAAAATGTAATTTTTTATTCTTTTCTTTTGGTTTTTAAAAATTTATTAAGTTAAGCATGCATTGTGCTAAATATTGGGGATAGAGAAGTGAAGGAAACAATTTCTGTCTGGTGGGGAAGATAGGTAATACATTATAATGAATTTTAAAAGTTAAGATAGCCCAGCAGGAGTGGCTCAATGGTTTATTGTCAACCTATGAACCAAGAGGTCACGGTTCCATTCCTGTCAGGGCACATGCCCTGGTTGCGGGCTCCATCAGTGGGGTGTGTGCAGGAGGCAGCCAACCAATGATTCTCTCTCATCATTGATGTTTTTTTCCTCTCTCTATCTCCCTTCCTCTCTGAAACATTATATATATATATTTCTCCTATATAATAAAAGCCCAGCGACCATAATGGCAGAACTGCTCAGCCATTCACTATGAGGTGCACTGACCACCTCTCAGTCCCTTTCCCCGACCAGCAGGCTCTGATCACCGATGGCAAACAGGACCCTGGCAAACGGGACCCGGGGTGGGTGGTGGGGGATGTGGCTGGCGACAGGCCAAGGCCCCCGCCCCCGGTCACCCCCCACACAGAGGGTGACTGGCGGCGGGGGTGGGGCTGCTGAGCGGGCAGGAGAGGTCCCTCCCTCAGCAGGCAGGCTCCCATTGCTGGATGGTGAAAAAGGAACCAGGGTGGGTGGTGTTGGGAAGGTGGGGGGGAGGCGGGACCGGCTGCCAGCAGCCTGGGAATATGGCCCTGATCACAGGCTAGGCCTGGGGACTGTACCCATGCATGATTTCATGTGCCGGGCCTCCATATATATATATATATATATAGAGAGAGAGAGAGAGAGAGAGAGAGAGAGAGAGATTTGTTGCAAGATAGATTTGTCGCAAGGTTAGCAGAACATTAGAGAAAGTATAGAATCCTTTCGTTTATTAAAGAGCATTTCTTGAGTCCTCACTAGGTTGTGTGAGAAGCATTCCAGTGAAGGTGCTGCTGGGGTAGAAATCCAGGTAGCAAGGATGGAGCTACCCAGGGTATTCAGAAAACGCCAGTTATATAGTTAGCTGTTACCTGAGCAAAAAATTAAGGTTGGCCAGGGAAGAGGACTGTAGAGTCTAGAAAGAAATGCAGTGGACAGGTCAGAAAAGGCTTGGGCTCTTTGCTAGGACACCCCAAGTTGCTTTTGGTGGAATCGCAAGGGGAATGCAACATCAATTTTATTAAAATTATCTGTAGTACAAAACCACGCGCTTTTAATCATTAAACTATGGATGCATTGTGTAGTTGATGCAATAGCATATTCATTAGTGAGATATGACGAAACGAAATCCCACAGCTGGGCAGGAAGACAGCGTTGGCTCTCTTCTCTGAAGACGCTGGCGTTCATGGTCCTCGGCTCTCAGAGGACCTGGGGCGAGACACCTGGAGAACACGGAACGTTTCAAGCTGCCAGAGAAGCTGAGAGGTAAGTTCACGGACGGAAGAGGCTGCAATGCAGCGATCCAGGAGCCTGTGCCCTGCTCCGCTCCCGATTCCCCAAACACCCACCACCTGGCGCCTTTTCCCTCAGCAGACAGCGCTTCCAGCTCAGGAACTGCCCTTTTAACTTCAGGCGTCTAGTTGCCAGGGCAACCCTCTTCCGCCCACGCGTCTGCGGCCTCCCTGCTATTGGCTGAGAGGGCGTAACGTGCGTCTGACGTCAATACGCGGCGCCGCGGGACCCGGAGACCCCCCTCGAAGCCCTGTTCTCCGCACGCTTGGGCAGCGGGCCGCGGAAACCGTGGC